GACACTCTTGTTGCACACTCTTTGGAGACAGTCTTGTAGGACACTCTTGTGGGACGCGTTTGTCTGTCACTCTTGTGTGACACTCTCGTAGGACACTCTTGTCGGACACTTTTGCGGGACACTCTCTTGCGGGACGCTCTTATATGACACTCTTGGAGGACACTCTTGCGGGACACCCTTGTAGGACACTCTTGTGGGACACCCTTACAGGACACTCTTGTAGGACACTCTTGCGGGACACTCTTGTGGGACTGTCACTGGGACACTGAGTGTCCCACAAGACTTTCCCACAAGAGTGTCCTACAAGAGTGTCCCGCAAGAGCGTCCTACAAGGCTGTTTCGCAAGAGTGTCCGACAAGAGTGTCCCACAAGAGTGACGAACAAGAGTGTCCAGCAAGAGTGTCTCACAAAAATCTCCAACAAGAGTGTGCCCCACAAAAGTGTCCTACAAGAGTGTCCCACAAGAGCGCCCCACAAGACTTTCCCACAAGAGTCTCCTACAAGAGTGTTCCGCAAGAGTGCCCGACACGAGTTTCTTACAAGAGTGCCCCGCAAGAGTGTCCTACAAGACTGTCCCGCAAGAGTGTCCTGTAAAATTGTCCCAAAACAAAATCCTACAAGAGTGTTCCGCAAGAGAGCCCCACAAGAGTGTCCGACAAGAGTGTCCCGCAAGAGTGTCCTACAAGAGTGACAGACAAAAAAGTCCCACAAGAGTGTCCTACAAGACTGTTTCGCATTGCGGGGCACTCTTGTAGGACACTCTTGTGGAGCACTCTTGTAAGACACTCTTGTCGGACATTCCTGTGGGACACTCTTGTTTGTCACTCTTGTGGGACACTCTTGTTGCACACTCTTTCGAGACAGTCTTGTAGGACACTCTTGTGGGGCGCTTTTGTCTGTCACTCTTGTGGGACACTCTCGTAGGACACTCTTGTCGGACACTTTTGCGGAACACTCTTGTAGGACTCTTGCGGGACGCTCTTATATGACACTCTTGGAGGACACTCTTGCGGAACACCCTTGTAGGACACTCTTGTGGGACACTCTTACTAGTACAGGACACTCTTGTAGGAATGTCTTGTAGGACACTCTTGTGGGGCATTCTTGTAAGACACTCATGTCGGGCATTCTTGTTGGACACTCTTGTGGGACACTCTTGCTTGTCACTCTTGCGGGACACTTTTGGGGAACACTCTTGTAGGACACTCATATATGACACTCTTATATGACACTCTTAGCGGAACACCTTGTAGGACACTCTTGCGGGGAAGTCTTGTGGGACACTCTTGTAGGACACTCTTGTCGGACATTCTTGTGGGACACTCTTGCGGGACACTCTTGTTTGTCGCTCGTGTGGGACACTCTTGTAGGACACTCTTGCGAAACAGTCTTGTAGGACACTCTTGTGGGACACTTTTGTATGTCATTCTTGTGGGACACTCTTGCGGAGCACTCTTGTAGGACACTCTTGTGGGAAATTCTTGTAGGACACTCTAGGACACTCTTGCGGACACTCTTGTAGGACTCTGTAGGACGCCCTTGTGGGGCACTGCTACTACAGTCTCCAAAAATCAACCGTCACATCTCCAAAGCAAGCGTTTTGCACGAGACTTGCTCCAAAACTCACACGTCAAGACTGCAAAACGAGCATTTCGCACGAGACTTCTTCCAAAATTCAGTCGTCAAGTCTCTAAATCGAGCGTTTCATACGAGACCGCCTCAAAAACTCGCGCTTCGAGTCTGCAAAACAAGCGTTTCGTACGAAACTTAAAGTCACGCGTCAAGTCTCCAAAACGAGCGTTTCGTACGAGACTTCCTCCAAAAGTCACACGTCAAAGTCTCCAAAACGAGCATTTCGTACGCATTCGGGAAAAATAGTTTAAAAACATTTTTAACACACACTTCACATCCATATCTTGACCCTTTTAAATCAAACATACAACGGGCGTTTATTGGATAAAATCGGAAAGCCTCTATAGTTAGCTATATATAATGGCTATCGACGAGGTTCTGACGGGGACTGTATTCGGAAACTAGCTGAGCACACATATGTTAAATGTTTTTGAACAGGGATTGACATGGACTATCACTCATCGCGTCAAAAAAACTTGAGTGACTTTACCAATGGCTAAGATACACCTTACATGCAGGCACAATTACAATCAAGAGTTTCATCAGTTGTCCAAAAGATCTTGACAAAGGTTGTTACACATCAAAACGTTGTTCCACTGTAACAATCAATGGTATGACAAAACCCCAAGAGGTTAGAAGTGGACAACTTGGAAATTGATATTTTCAGTGGCTGCAGTTTTGTTCGCTGATGTTTTCTTATGTACTTGTAGTGGCAAGTGGCCAAAACCTCGAAAATTTAAAATCCGAAAATTGCGAACCCTGTGTCTACAGAGCGGTTTGGCTCAGGCTAGTAAGGTCACGGGTTCCACTTGCTTTTGCGTTGTCATCCCTGGATTGTTTTAAACATTGAACATGTGGCTTGGCCTAAGCCAGGTCATGGGCTCTGCACTTTTGGATTTTTGGGATTTTAATCAAAGCCTGCAAACCCTATGTCTGCAAAGTGGTTCAGGCCATGTCGTGGGTTTTGCACCTGTGAATTATTGATTGTTTGTTTCTTGAAACTTCAGGTTTTGTGATAGGCTGTTACATTTCCCCATGCTCTAATACATATATTTGGACATCCCCCATGATCTACCTACAGTTGTTTTCTGTGGGCCAGGCGGCCTGCCCATGCAAAACCCTCTTTTCAAATGTTTGAAATGAGTTCCTCTCAATACAAATGCATGTTCAAGAATTTCTAAAAACTTGTTGTTTCTACTGGTTTTAGTAACATAAATAGTTAAACGCGCTAAAAACATCACATGAGCCACGCTGAAAACCTCCCCCCGCGTAAGCTAAAACTGCGGTCGCGTAAGCTCTGCGTAAGCTTTGGCGTAAGCCAGACATTTCCAGGTTATGTCATATCGATGCTGCGTAAGCAAAGCCTGCAATGGCGTAAGGTGGCGTAAGCAGCGGCGTAAGCAACACCCCCGCGTAAGCTGAAACTGCGGTCGCGTAAGCGCTGCGTAAGTTTTCCCGTAAGGCAGTTCTTACGACATAGGAATCTATCAAGGTTTTCAGCATGGCTCACATTATTAGCCTGCTTAGACAGAAAACAACAACGAAAACAAACCAATAAAACCAAACGCGCTAAAAACCATCTGGGAAATGTGGATGCCGGCTTCTATTTTTGTTCGAATTCCTGTATTTATCGGTTTTGAACCAAAAGCAAAACAAAAACCAAAAGAGACAACCACATGAACCCAGACTTCCAAGGCTTTTTGTTTGTTTCTATTGTTGTTTTCCACTCTACCAAAGCCTTCACGCAGTGTTTTTTCCACAGGTGGCACATCGGAAAAATCAGACACGGAGTTCCTTCCAAGTTCATTGCAACTCGGGCGTTTGCGGCGCTGGGGGCGCGCTACCGAACGCTCCCTCTGGCGTGCTCCGCGGTCTCATAATGTGTGAATGCCCTCTTCAGATTCCTAGCTATTGATGCCCTTGTACTTTTCGTCGCCAATTTCTAATTGATGTCGCTTGCAATTACTTTTGATCCCCTTGGATTTCCTTACGCATTCTTCACACAGTTTGTGTTCGCCCCGTACACTAGAAATATTGAATAGTAAAACTAAAACCCTCTACAATAATGTCTGCCCTGTTTGGCTCCAATTATACATCCCCCGCAACCATGTCTACGCTTTTCATTTATTTATCTTCGTGTGTGAATTCCCGTCTCAACCCTTTGAATGCTTTAATCAGTTTGGGTTAGCCCTGTACACTAGAAATCTCGCAAAATTAATGCACATCTACGATAATGTGTCGCTTTAGTAACAGCACGCCTGCGATCACATTTGCCCTTTAAAGTTCCTACTTCTTTGTGCCGTTGTAAATTCCTTTTGATTACGTTTTTTAGAAGTCTTGTAATTTCCGTTTATATTCTGTTTGATTCCAGTTGGTTTCCTTTCCTATTTATTCCTTATGATTCCTTTGGATTTCCTTTTGCATTCTTTAACCAGTTTGTGTTAGCCCAGCACACTTGGACATCTCGAAAACTATAACCGAAACCATGTACAATAAGGTTTGCCCTGCTTTGCTTTAATAGTACGCCTGTAATCACGTCTGCGCTTTGAGAATGCCTAATTTTTGGTGGCGCTTTAAACTCATTTTGATTCCTATTGATTCCCTCTTCTTGCGTTCTTGCGATTTCCCTTTATATTCTTTTTGATTCCAAATGATTCCTTTCATGTTGATTCCTTTGGATTTCCTTTTGCATTCTTCAATCAGTTTGTGTTAGCCCAATAGAAATCTTGAATAACAAAACTAAAACCCTCTACAATAATGTCTGCCCTGTTTGGCTCCAATGGTACATCCCCTGCAATCACGTCTACGCTTTTCATTCTTCTTTATCTTCATGTGTGGATTCCCTATTAATTGTTGATGTCCTTTTAGTTATAATTTCTATTTGATTCTTACTGATTCCCTGTTCAACCCTTCTGTATTCTAATGGTATCCATTTGCCCGCCTTCCATATGATTTGGTGAAGTCCAAAAGTCTGTGGCTGCAACTCCACTAATGCGTGCTAGAGGTAACCCAATAGATTGTCCACTATACACATGGTAATGAAGAAATGAAGTACCCAGAATAATCCTCGTTCGTTTTAGGGAAAACATCGCAGAAAAAGATTAGATACTAATGGTAAATTTCTACAGTGCATGATCCTTCCCACTATACTTCATGTTATATGTTCATAAACTGCTATCTCAGTTTAGCTTGGACCACACACAAAGGTGGTTGCGGAGGGGTGGGCATATACTAGGCAACATGTCCGGCTCAATTGCAAGAATCAATGAAACTGTCCACTCTACACGCCCTGTTCATCTTCTGGCATCTTCAAAGTTCAATTCATAAAATCGTGTGAGCACTGTTGAGAAAGAGAACCACTTCATGAGGACAAGGTGCCGAACACTCGTCCTGCCGCTTGGAGCGCTTTCTGCAGCTCAGTGTCTCAGTTGAAATGGACCTCGCTGCTAAACAAGGGAGACAGAGAGATAAAGATTGAAGACAAAAAATAGCGGTTTATACGAGAGAGATGTGAGATGTACGTGGTTTGTACTGCTTTCATAGATACCAAAAAGGGTTCGACTGACGTTTGCCACATGCCAGTTTGATTGACTGAGAAGGATAAAATTTAGAAGCAAGGACTTCACCATGGAAAGTCTGATTATTGTTTACATCTCTTCAAACTCTAAACTTCGTTTTCAAAAGGCGACGATGATGAAGATGACATTCCAGCTTTCGAGAACGACTTTGGCCGCAACCAAGTCCAAAAGGCGAATTGGCAGGCCTGGTGTCGTTAGGCTGTTGTTCCCCAGCTTCAAGCTACATTGTCTAGCAAGGCATGCGAAGCATTTTGCGTCCAGGTCATGAACATCTCCACCCCAGCAAACTATTTCCATGCCCTGCGGCGGCAACAACATCGAGATTTCCGGAAGCCTATGGTCTTGGCATCACCCAAGAATCTTTTTCGCCTACGTCAGTCCCTGACGCAGCAGATTTGAATCATTTGCGCTGTGTGAGTTGCATCATATCTCATATATATAATTGTTAACCGCGTTCTTGCTGTTTTGTAGCTGTTGTGAAACTGCTGAGGTGTGTAAGTCAGTTGAGCGATATGGGTCCTGGATCGAGATTCCGCCGGCTTATTCCAGAACGTGATACTAAGATTGCTGATAACCCCGAGAAGGTCTCTCGTTTGTGATTCAAGAGAATATCCACTGTTCACCTGTGCATGGGTGCGACTTGACATTGACTATTCTTGGCGAAAAATAGGTCAAGAGGCTTGTCTTTTGCAGCGGGAAGCTCTACTATGAATTGGTTGCTGAGCGCGAGCAGCACCTTGCCTGAAGCAAAGCTATTTCCAGCTGGTTTCCCAGAGTCAAAGCTATTTCAGACAGGCTTGGTTTGGACAATGTAGCCATCGTTACTTTGGAGCAGATTGCTCCTTTCCCCTTCGATCGGGTGAAGGCCCGGGCCTCAGAGCGGAAATCATTCTCGGAAAACGTTCAATACGTTCTTCTTGTTCCTAGTAGTAAGGTACTTGTTACTAGAAGCGATGCACTTGTTCCTAGTAGCTTCTTGTTCCTAATTTGTTCAATGATAAGTTGTTTTGTTAGATGAAGCTTTCCACGTGTAGGCAATGTTGGAGATGTATCCAAATGTTGACATTGGTGATGGCATACATCCCGGCAATGCCATTTGGCCGTGGTGGAGCTGCTGTGCAATTTCGGCAATTTGGGATCAGAAGTTGTGCCTGCACCAGACGCTTTGTTCCAGTCAATGTGAGTCTTCCATTGCTTGCACCAATTTCAAGGGCGCATCCTAGAACTCTATAAGCATTAGCGGAATTCTCGGCCCGCTGCCTGCCAAGGTTATTTGGTGTCAGGAAGAGCCCAAGAACATGGGGGCCTGGTCCTACGTGAACACCTCAGTTTTGAGCACTTGATGCGCACGGTGCAAGTTTCACCCTTAGGTGAGGCCAAGATTCGTTACTACTATGAGAGAAGGCCTTGAGAAGGATATGGTTATGCGCACAGCACTCAGCTTCCTCGCTTCTGTTCTGTGCATTTTGCAACTCATACTTTTTGCTTCAAAACCAGTCGGATCGCATTGTCCTTGCAGGCTGTAGGTTTCAGCAATGAAAAGCCATCGGTGGCCTGTGCGTTGTGTCATCATGTGGCCATAAGCTCAGTGAGGTTATGTGGGTCGCCGAGCAAGTGCATCACCCGCAACAGGGTATCCCAAATTGCACAATGCGGAGCAGGAGGCCCTCGTAAAGGCCAGACAGCCTTTGCCGGGCCATACCTGCAATCCGTATCGAACAGTTTTGCTCTTTTTTCAAAACAGCATTAGATACAACCGCATAACATCACTGAAGGTTTGAATTCTGCACTTATTTCAACACAGCACAAGAGAGCCACCGTGACCATGTGCTGGATATTCGCGTCCATTCAAGATGGAGTATTCCTTTCAGAAAGTGATGTGAAATCTTGCTTTGCTTTATTGTTTGAAGACGCCAGGAGGCCCTGGTGGGACATGACGATGAGAATTGGACAGTGCAGAGACCGTCTTCTTTGCTGGGCCATCAGACCTAGGCTTTGAACTTAGCAAACACTTGCAAAGACAACTTGCTTGTTTGATCAAGAGGTTTGTGTTTGAGCCACAAACTTGGCAGCGTATGTGCTGCGAAGCAAAGACAGATAGCTCTATAATAATAGTAAGGGCTCCGCCCTGGTGCCGCCGACCCCTTTTCTTGGGGGAGGAGCTGGAAGACCAGAAGCCGGACAGGGATTGCTATAACCAGACACCGGCTATGTGCTCAAGACTCTGTATTCTTGATTCCTTTTACCGGTGCCTATGCTACACTACGGATGCGCTAGTGTATGCACAGTCCTTGTCACGAAAGCTAGCATGCTAGCTGACTTCTTCGTTGCTTTAGCAATTGGTAGTGGGATGAGCTGTGTGCCTTAAACCTTGATATATCACACTGGTGGTGCTTGCTGCCGGTGGTGCTGCTGCTGCTGCTGCGGCTTGATGCTGCGCTGCTGCTGCGTGGTGCTGCTGGCTGGCTGCCGGTTGGCGGTTGGTGCTGGCTGCTGGCTGCAGGCGGCTGCTGCTGCTGCTGCTGGCCGCTGCTTGCCGCATAGGACTTGTACTTCACCGTTACAAGTTGTTCACCCCTAGTTCTAACCTAATGCACGCAGAAGCGGGTGGCAAATTTACCCCCCAGGCTTGCTATAACCATACACCGGCTATTTCCTCAAGACACTCTATTCTTGATACCTTTTACCAGTGCTTATCCTACACTACGGACGCCCTAGTGTAT